TACATTTACAAGAAAATGATGGAGGTATATATATATTTTTTTCAAGTATTCCCAATTTGGATGAATAAAAGGGGAAACATTTTAAGAAACAAAGAAGTGTGACGATAAGTTTTCGCCCCAAACTGGGAAACTGACTCTTCGCGGACGGAACAACAACAACTGGGGGAAATAACTCTGTAGAGACGACTCGGCAGCGAGAACGGAAACTCGTCACGATTTCCTGGTACAGGAGATCTGCTTCGAGCGAGCTTATACGGACGTCAAGGATAAGACAATCTTTGGTTCCACAGTACTTTTATTCTAGGTCAGGCCAACAAGCGACATGACCTCTAGCATACTCTAGTTTGTAATCATCAAAGCTGTACAAGGTACTTGCTTAAGAAGTAACTGGTGCGAAGTGCTATTGTTACACAAATCGCAATATTTGAATAAGGACACAAAGGAGCGGAAAAAAGTCTCTTTGAAGTTAAACGAAAACTACTTATCTTAATTGCAGTAGCGCAGCTCAAGAGATAAAAAACGGAAAAGCAATTAAAAGTTTCTGCTTATCTATGCAAGATTGGTTTGGAAACCATCACATGAAAAGAAATTAAATTTACGAGTATAAACTCAGCTGCTGTCTACCATGAAAACCAATGTTTCCAGAAAGACCATTAACACCTATATTTACCTAAAAAATCCCATTTACTAGATGACAAAAGTGCCGACAAGCAGGTGCATAGTAAAAGCGAGTAATCGATAAAAATCCATTCTAAAAGCCACTGTGGATTTTGTACATTTTATTTAACTACCAAAGAAAAAAACCCGAATAACCGAATATTCCAAATGTAAAAGTATGTGAATATATTTTTAAGATGTTTATCCCAAAAAAACGAAAACCCTAAATACAATATTTTGTGATATGTCAACAATTTACTTTTTCTGGTTATAACTAATTTGAATAACAACAATTTGAATAGAACAACTCGTTCATCATTCTTTACCGCTCAACCGGTCGAGTAAAAGAACGAACAAAATATAGAACTGGGTCTAAACCGATAAATAAATTTAAAATGTGTCCTAAAACTAAAATACATAACTTTTCCCCCCTAACAGAAGATCATTTAACAACCTTGGAGATTCATAGCACCTAATTTACATCGAGAGGCATTTTCAATAATAGATGATTTGTTTCAATTAGAGTAAAGGTAATATAATCTTGTCACGTATTGGAGTGTGGTTTTAGATTGTTGCATTTCTTATAAACACGCGAAAGAGCCGGAATTAAGACCTGGAAAGATGATAAGAATCGTGGGGATGAGAGAGGATCTTATCACAACTTTTTTAGACCTCCAAGGTATCATGCGTCTGAAAATTATACTTTATAGAATATATTTAAGATCTGGGACTTTAACTTACAACTAACAAACAGTTCAATTATGAGCACATCATGAGATTCGACCGTCAAACGTCATAGCATGTTTTAGCTACCCTTCCGCCTAATAGTTGATGATGGTGAACAAGAAGCAACCATCACGCACGGAAATCTCAAGCTCATACAAATCCAATTGTTACGTGAGATGCCTGAAATCTGTTATTTAATTTACTTAACCTACTCTCCCCCTCCCCCCATTAATTCAGTTTGATCTCTTTTGCCCTTGTTAACTTGACCTATTCTCCCCCTCCCCCCATGACCTCAGTTTAATCTCTTTTCCCCTTGTTGACTTGACCTATTCCACCCTCCCCTCCATGACTTCAGTTTGATCTCTTTTGCCCTTGTTAACCTTAACCTATCATGCGTCTAAAGATTTTCATTTATCGAATGCATGTAAGGTCTGGGACTTTAATATACAACTACTAAACAATTAAATTATAAGCACACTATGAGATTTGACCGTCAGCCGTTAAAGGACCTAACATTTGACCGTCAACCGTCAAAATCGAAAAAATTTGACCGTCAACCGTCAAAACATCTTTTAGCTACCCTCCGTTAAAATCATTATTTAAATTAACACCCGCTTAATAGTTAATGATGGTGAAAACAGAAGGAACTATCACGCACGCAAATCTCAAGCTTATAAAAACCCAATTGTTACGTGCGTGGAATGCCTGAAATCCGTAAAGCATGGCCCAATGGTAGCCAAACAGATGCACGAAATTCAAGACATTGAAAAACAAGAATTGAAAGCGCAAGCGCTGCGCGACAAAATATTTCTATATCTATAGTTGACATTGTTGCCATCGTCGAGTTTTAGCAGAGTTCTCTCCCCACTACTGCCTGCCTATCTTAGTACAGGTAGTAGTGGGAAGAGATCTCAGCTAAAACGCAACCATGCAGAGGAAAAAAAAAACCCAAACAAGACTATATGAAGGTTAGAATTCATTTGCTTTATAATTTATATAGTTCCAGTGCAGAGCCTAAACTCCCATACAAAGCTTTATAATTTTAAATCATGGTTATATAATAATCATCTGTTTAATCGTTTGTCTCACGATGTAGTTACTTGAGTTGTAGATCGCGACGTTTCCACTACGTACTTAGTGTGAGAATCGTTCAATTAAAGACATCCTTCGGTTTGAGTTAGCTACACAAATAATTCTTGCGTCGTTTTGTCTTTGTTTGGGCTTTTGAAAGAGTCAAATTTCCACGTGTTAAAGATTAAAGTAGCCATCAGGAGGATAGAAAAAAATGAATAAACACTTCCATACTGCTTGGATCTTGTTTAAAAGTATCATGTCTGACTTATCTGGCCGAATAGTAAGTGCCGACAGTAGAATCGTGCAGAAAGTTGGTAAATGAAACATGGAGCCGTCATGGTTACACAAATCGCTTGTAAAATCTTTTTTTTTTTTCTTTTGTTGTTTAATTATTGTTTTTTTTTTTGTTTGTCTTTCCCCCCACCCTCCTGTTATTTACGGATCTGACTAAAAATTAAATTTCACTGCCACACTCATAAATTTTATATGAAAGGATGAGAAGTATTGTCAGTGAAAAGGAACACGTTAATTTGCACTCATGCTCAGAACTGAATTTCATTCTCACTTTTCCTCACATACATTTTCAATAAAATAATGGAGGTATATTCTTTTTTTTTTTCAAGAATTCCTAGTTTGAATCAATGAAAGAGGAAACTTTTTAAGAAACAAAGAAGATTATTTAACAACCTTGGAGATTCGTGGCACCTAATTTGCATCGAGGGGCATTTTGAATAATAAATTTGTGGTTTTGGAGTGTTGCAGTTCTTATAAACACGTGAAAGAGCCGGAATTAAGACCTGGAAATATATGACGATAAGAATTGTAGTGATGAGAAAGGATCTTACTACAGTTTATTTAGACCTCCCAGGTATTGTGTCTAAAAATTTTCCTATATCGAATATATTTAAGGTCTTGGACTTACAATTAATAAAGAGTTCAATTATGAGCACATCATGAGATTTGACCGTCAGCCGTCAAAGGGCCTAAAATTTGACTGTCAACCGTCAAGGGGCCTAAAATTTGACCCTTTTAGCTACCCTCCGTCAAAATTATCATTTGAATTGACACCCGCCTAATAGTTGATGATGGTGAAAGCAGAAGCAGCTATCACGCACGGAAATCTTAAGCTCACAGAGATCCAGTTGTTGCGTGAGATGCCTGAAATATGTAAAACATGGCCCAATGGTAGCCAAACAGATGCACAAAAATCAATCTAAACACAAGAATTGAAAGCCCTTACGCTGCGTGACAAAATATTCCAACATCTATTGCTGACATTGCTGCCATCGTCGAGTTTCAGCTGAGCTCTCATCCCACTACCGGCTACCAGTCTTAGTACAGGTAGTAGTGGGGTGAGATCTTAGCGAAAACGCAACGACATGGCCTGAAATCGCCACCAGAAACCAATAACAACCCAAACAACACAATCTGAAAGTTAAAGATTTATTTGCTTTTTTATTTATGGAGTTTTAGTGCGGAGCCTAAACACCCATTTAATCGTTTGTCTCACGAGGTAGTCACTTGAGATGTAGATCGCGACGTTTCCACTGCCTACTTAGTGTGAGACTCGTTCAAAGACATCTTTCGTTTTGAGTGAGATACACAAATAATTCTTGCAACGCTTTTTCTACATTTGGGCTTTTAGCATCAAACTAAAGTAATGGAGGGGGGGAGGGGGAGAATAGGTTAAGTGAACAAGGGTAAAAGATATCAAACTGAAGTAATGGGGGG